CATATTTGAAATAATATATAAAGTAATTATAATATTTATATTATTATATATTATTATATATATTATATCTATATTATTATATCTATATTAGAAATAATAACAAATATCATTTTTGTATATTTCTATATAAGAAATAATAACAACTATCATATTTTTTTTTTGTATATTTCTGTATTAGAATTAATAATAACTGTCATGTTTATATACTTCTATAGTAGAAAATAATAGCAAATATAAATATACGAATATAATATTTTGTTAAATCGTCGTTTAGACACCAGTTACATTGTAAAAGTTACTTTCAATCTACATTTATGCACTCCACTGTATACGAACTGTATTCGCAGTGCAGCAGAAATAAGAAAATTGATTCGTAATATTCGGTATTGGCAATCTCCTCTAATTCATCCTCGAACGTAATCTTTTCCATCCATTTTCCGATCAATATCTGAGAGAAGCATTTTTCCCATCAACGTGTCCTTTGATTCCGACGACACAGAAGTACGGTATCGAACGAAGTCTTTAAGATTTCTGTTCACGATATGTTTCAGGAGGACGTGGCGTATGGGTTCACCGAAGTGGTGGCTCTAAGGGGGTCCTACAGGGAAGCATGAGGGAGAGAACACCCTCTGCGGACGACACCCCGAAGAGGGCACCACCGGCTCCACCCAGAGGTGAGTTTCATTCTACGTGACTCATGTCACTTGCTCCGGCAACGTATTATACTTGAACTCTAACCACCCTTGTGATTCACTTTATGGGGATGAAAAATATACTTCCATTTTTAACGTGACTCGCGTTGTCCTCGTACACCTTCTGTCACAGCGATGCCCGGGTCTGTTTCTACCTCAAGTATTATCATTTATATTGGTAGTTAATTCATGTATAATAAATTTTATTTAACGACTTTTTTGAAAGCGTAGACTAACTCTCTTTGATCGCGACGCCTGGGTCTATCACGACCCGTTGCAAAACATCGTCGATTAATTGACGAATGATCGTTATTAGATTGCGGATCTTTGTGCAAAATAAAAATTATCTATATTAATTGTCTTCCTTGGTTCAATTAATTTATTCAATTAAACATTTTGAAATTGTCTTGTTGCCATAAACGCATCAAATCCGTAGACTAATCTTCATCTTTCATGTTCATAATCAACTTACAACACGTTATCTGATGATTTGTATAAAAATCAATCCTCGACTCTTTGACCGCGATGCCCGGGTCTGTTTCGACCCAGAGTTGAAAAATCGTCATTTATATCGATAACGAAGTTCTATCGGTTCGGCTTAACTGTTCTTCAAAAATCGAGGATTACACGCATTCTCGTCGAAAAAATATTTGGTAAAATATTTCAATATAAAAATATTTCATACAACCGATGTTATTTGTCACATTTTCTATCGAACATCTGTTTCGATTCTACAATTTCGTTGCGAGAAAAGTACTAAAATTGAACGATAAAGTTTGATATACGTTTGTTCGATAACCGGGTACCCATTTGCACATTCTCTTGAACATATTTTTTGCTTCCGATAAAATATTTCAATATCCAATTGCATCGTCGTTGTTTGTCACGTTCACGATCGATATTTGTTCTGATTCTACAATTTCGTTACGAGAAGAGTAGTAAAAATTGAACGATAAAGTTTAATATATGTTTGCTCAATAATAGCCAATTCCTCCAGACAATAAATGGAAATAATATTTCGTTGGGGTAATAAATGTAAAAGAAATAAAACTGAATGTTCATGTAATTATGTAAAAGTTCTACAAAACGGTAACGCAATATCAGAAGTTATAGAACAACGTCGACAATCTTAATTATCTATCTAATTATCTAATTATTATCTAATATATTATATCTAATTATAATAAATAATAATTATCTAATTATTATCTAATATATTATATCTAATTATATTATATATAATTATAATAAATAATAATTATATTATATATAATTATAATAAATAATAATTATATTATATATATTATATCTAATATATTATTATTTATCTAATTGTTTATATATTTTAATTATTTTAACGAGGGTTAAAACGGCTAATAACAGTTAACACTGCGATGCCCGGGTCTACTCAGACCCAGAATAGAAAACTTCGTCGCGTTAATTAACGTTCGATTCGCTCTCCGTCCAAATCCAGAGAATCGATCAACGCTCGAAATGCGACATCATTTTAACAAAAACATAACCGAACAAGCATAAGATTATTTATAATTTTATTTAGTAATTTTTCCAACATATTTTTTAACGTAGATCTTCTAGACACGTTAGCCACACTATAAACGTTGACGAACATCTGCGAATTTGAATTAATCGATACAAATTAAACAATAAGAATAACAATATTCGCAACTCCGGGTCAAAACGGACCCGAGCCACGCCCCCTCCGAGCGTTAACCCTTCGCACTCGAAGCCATTTTAACTCGAAATCTAAAATAGTTCTTCTGATTTGTACTGTTACTGTTGCATATAATTTATTGCATTTTATTTATGCAACATTGAATTTTATGACTCGAGCAACAAATTATACTTCGCTGAATTGTTTGCATATTTTAAGAAGTATTTTCAAACGTGATAAAACGATTTTTGACGACGCCTTTGAATTGCCACTCGAGTGCAAGGGTTAACCCTTTGCAGTCGAAGCTATTTGAATTCAAAATCCAAAACATGATTTCTGATCTACAGTATCGTACAGTATAGTAATTATATATATATAGTAAAATTATATATACAGTATAGTATAGTAATTATGTAATTTTATATAATTTACTGCGATTTACGCATATGAATTTGAGCCTGTCGACAAGCACAGCGCAAACAATTATTTTAACAATTATTTTCTAAATATAAACGAGTCTGACACTCTTAGGATGATTCTGAAAAATAGTATAACAATTTTTAGTGGCGCCTTAGAGTCGCCACGCGCGAGTGCACAGGGTTAAAAGATAATCTCTATGAGATCGCTAGCATCCGATCGGACGCGTCCCGCTGTTTACGAAGCGACCGCGAAGACAGCTCTATCGGATGACACCTATATCTATCGGAATCTCTCGAAACGGACGCGTTCGAGCGTCGAGTTCGAGTTCAGTCTAATAATAAACGGCGCGCGGCGTCGGTAGTTCGCGGGCGAGACGCGGTGTCCGACGACGCTCTAGGCGTCTAATTGTCAGCCGCCGCGTTGCGTTGCGTTGCCCGATTACTTTCGAAACACCTAGTTTGTCCGCATAACAGCCGGGTTCGTGAATGATGCGTTATGTAATCGGCGGTGCGCGGCCGAGCGCAGGTTGCACCGCGGCGTCGACCGACGGCGGCTGAAGCGAGCGAGCGAGCGGCCGAGCCCGCGCGTTTGTGTGTGTGTACACGTGTGTGTGTGTGTTCATGGATGCGTGCGGGTGTCGCACGCACCGGAGAACTAGTAACGATAAGCCGGCGATATTAAGGCGAGATAACGCTCGCGAGACAGGTTCCACGTACACGCTATGTGTGCCAGTGAAACGGTCTGGCGATCGCTCGCCGGGGCCTTGAAAACCGCCGCTAAATAATCACGCTCAGCGCTACCTAGGCTTTTCTTTGAATTACCGTTGCCGCTCGACGAATGCCCGTGGAATTTTAAATGCTCGGCCGCGCGTCAGCTGCGCATCGGCTTATTCCGCGACGACGAATTTCATTCGCTCCCGTTTTGGACCTTATTTTGCGGTTTTGATTTCCGGTAGCATGTATATATACCTCGATATACGATCTCCTGTATCGCTTTGCATATACAGTTGAAATCCTATTTCACCCGATTCGCAGTGGTGCCTCGGTACATGATTACCGATATCGCTTTACACCCGGTTCATCGGTACATGGGATCTCTGGGACAACTTTCCATCCAGACGGAATTGTGTTTGGTCGGATTTACAGTAGTGCCTCGATAGTTGTCCTTGATGGACATTTCGAATCCATCCTCTTTTCTAAGGAGCTTTGGTTACATAGATTTCATGTTTAGGTAATTCTATTCCACTGTAGTTTGCATTTTGGAGTAGTGCCGCGATTGTTGTCCTCGATGGCCATTTGAAATCCATCCTTTTCTAGTGAATTTTGGTTCCATAGATTTCATGTTTAGAAAATTCCATTCTACTGAAGTGTAGATAATACAGTAATTCCTTGATAGAGGTCCTTGATGGCTATATCAAATTCATTCTTTTCTTAGTTCCATAGATTTCCTGTCCTTGATGACCATTTGAAATCCATCCTTTTCCAGCGAATTTTGAGATTTCATAGATTTCATATTTATATAATTCCATTCTACTGAAATCTGCGTTGTGCAGTAGTGCCTCGATAGATGTCCTCGATGGCCATTTAAAATCCATCCTTTTCTAGTGAATTTTGGTTCCATAGATTTCATGTTTAGAAAATTCCATTCTACTGAAGTCTAGATAATACAGTAATGCCTTGATAGAGGTCCTTGATGGCCATATCAAATTCATTCTTTTCTTAGTTCCATAGATTTCCTGTCCTTGATGACCATTTGAAATCCATCCTTTTCCAGCGAATTTTGAGATTTCATAGATTTCATATTTATATAATTCCATTCTACTGAAATCTGCGTTGTGCAGTAGTGCCTCGATAGATGTCCTCGATGGCCATTTAAAATCCATCCTTTTCTAGTGAATTTTGGTTCCATAGATTTCATGTTTAGAAAATTCCATTCTACTGAAGTGTAGATAATACAGTAATGCCTTGATAGAGGTCCTTGATGGCCATATCAAATTCATTCTTTTCTTAGTTCCATAGATTTCCTGTCCTTGATGACCATTTGAAATCCATCCTTTTCCAGCGAATTTTGAGATTTCACAGATTTCATATTTATATAATTCCATTCTACTGAAATCTGCGTTGTGCAGTAGTGCCTCGATAGATGTCCTCGATGGCCATTTAAAATCCATCATTTTCTAGTGAATTTTGGTTCCATAGATTTCATGTTTAGAAAATTCCATTCTACTGAAGTGTAGATAATACAGTAATGCCTTGATAGAGGTCCTTGATGGCCATATCAAATTCATTCTTTTCTTAGTTCCATAGATTTCCTATTTAGATAATTCTATTCCACTGTGATTTACATGTGCCTCGATAGTTGTTCTTGATGGCCATTTGAAATCCATCCTTTTCGAGCGAATTTTGATTTCATGGATTTCATATTTAGATAATTCCATTCTACTGTAATCTGCGTTGTGCAGTAGTGCCTCGATAGATGTCCTCGATGACCATTTGAAATCCATCCTTTTCTAGTGAATTTTGGTTCTATAGATTTCATGTTTAGAAAATTCCATTCTACTGAAATCTACATAATACAGTAGTGCCTTGATGGAGGTCCTTGATGGCCATTTCAAATTCATCCTTTTCTTAAAAGCATTAGTTCCATAGATTTCCTGTTTAGATAATTCTATTCCACTGTGATCTACATGTGCCTCGATAGTTGTCCTCGATGGCCATTTCAAATCCATCATTTTCTAGTGAATTTTGGTTCCATAGAGATTTCATGTTTAGAAAATTCCATTCTACTGAAATCTACATAATACAGTAATGTCTCGATAGTTATCCTTGATGGCCATTTGAAATCCATCCTTTCCTAGTGAATTTTGGTTCCATAGATTTCATGTTTAGAAAATTCTATTCTACCGAAATCTATTGGGTTGTCCGGAAAGTTCGTGCCGATTTTCGGTAGGTAGCGTGAGAGACCTGACTGAATATATCACAATTATTGAAAACAAATGACATGCGTACCTATTCTAAAAGAGATAACTTCAGTCATATTTAGAAAAAGTTTGCTTACGATTCGTTAATTTTTATCAGTTTTGTATGCCTTAGAATATGGTGGCAAATAAAGTGCAGTATAGGCATTTAATGCTTTCATTTTTCCGAAAGGGCGAAAATGACACACAAGCGGCAAATAAGATATGCGCTGTTTATGGCGAGGATACTGCAGCCGAAAGAACTGTGCGGAAGTGGCTTGCTCGGATTAAAACTGGAAATTTCGACCTTGAAGATCAAGAACGACAAATTTTTTGCCGAAAAACCTGAGAAGTTCTGGAAGGACGGAATTCTCTCAAGCTGCATGAAAGATGGAGAAAGGTTGTGGAACAGAATGGTACCTATATAATTTAATAAATGTATACCAATATTTAAATGAGCTGCGTTTTAATTTTCCTAAAAAATCGGCACGAATTTTCCGGACAACCCAATACATAACACAGTAATGCCTCGATAGTTGTCCTTGATGGCCATTTGCAATCCATCCTTTTCTAACGATTTTTGATTTCATAGATTTCATGTTTCGAAAATTCCATTCTACTTTAATCTACACGGTGCAGCAGTGCCGCGATAGTTGTCCTTGATGGCCATCCGAGATCCATCCTCTTCCATCGATTTTTGGTTCCATAAATTTCCTGCTTCGAAAATTCCATTCTACTGCAATCCAGTACAGCGGTGCCTGGATAAATGTTCTCTCGTGAAATTGCAAATGTGTTTACCGCGCGGCATGTCCCTGTAAGGTCAGGATCATTGCGGAGAGATAAGCGAGACACGCTTTGAACTTTCGACTCTTATCGCGTCGCCGATTGGTCGTTGCATCGGGTCGCAGCGATCTGTATTCCTCCTGCTCTACTCTCCCTTTTCTCTGTGGGAGACGCATATGGCCAGTTCCCGCTCCTCTTTTTCAATCGAGAGCACCGCGCGCCGCCCAGCGTACACGGTTTCCAATCGACCCTTTCTACCGAACCGAAAATTCATCCCGTACAAATCGACGCTGCTACTCTCACTTCGCTGCGGCATACAGGTCCTGCGCCGCTGCGTAACTCTTTATTTCCATTTTCTAATTAGCAAGCGCTTTTCTGCTTTCGCGCGACGCAAGATGCCTGAAACCGTTTGAAGGATCGAGAAAATTCTGTATATTTCAATATAATTGTATAATTCAGTATACATATATATATAATATATAATATAATATATATAATAATATATAATATATTATATATTATTATATATATTATATTATATCTGTCTCTTATACACATCTAGATGTGTATAAGAGACAGATATAATATAATATATATAATAATATATAATATAATATATATAATAATATATAATATATTATATATTATATTATATATTATATTATATTATATTATATATATATTATATTATATATTATATTATATATTATATTATATCTGTCTCTTATACACATCTAGATGTGTATAAGAGACAGATATAATATAATATATATAATAATATATAATATATTATATATTATTATATATATTATATTATATTATATTATATTATATTATATTATATTATGTATTATATTATATATATTATATTATATATTATATTATATATAATTGTATAACTGTGTAATTCAGTATATTTTTTTGCGGATGTTGTATATTTATAGCAAAATTGAGCAGGTGAAATACAAACTCATAGACTTGAAAATAATTTAAGTACACCGGCACGATATTCTTTACAGGGTAGATGTCCCAGTTTCCGTGTCTGTCCCAATTTACGTGCCACCGGATTGAAAACGTATCGGTAAAGAAAAGTTTTATATACAATGTGACCCATTTGAATCGATCCAGTCAAATATCTCCGAAACCGTCGATGATACTAAATAAATGTTTAGAACGAAATTTGAATGGTTTCCGAGGGCAAGTAACCTGATATCAATCAGATTTTTCTAAGTGATCGCGTCGAGGTCATACGAAGGTCGACTTAATTTTTTAAAATAGATTCATATATCTTTTACTATACCACTTGATTCAGCTCGTCATTCTCTTCGTAAAAGTACTGAACAACTTTTTTTCGAAAAATCATTCGTTTAGAAGATATTTGAACTAGTCGATTTAAATGAATCACCCTGTATAAATCGATCATCTAATTTTTTTGCTACGTTTACCTGTCAACATGTAAGATTCAAGAAGAGCTATTTAACCCCCGTCCCGGGGGCACGGAAATTGGGACATTCGCCCTTTATTGACATGATCGAACGAAGAGATACATTTTTATCCAACTTCCGTTTCCTACGGTTGACGTCGAAACTTTTTATGTACATATAAAGAAATTATATAAATATTATAAGTTTATTTATACATCCGAAAGAAATCCGTGTCACGTGGTCCGCGGACGATTCGATGTCGATCGAGCGAAGAACGCCGCGAAACATTCGGAAGAACGGCCGCGCGTCGTCGAGCGAATCTCGCGGCGAGCGAAATTCCGAAATGTTTTGAGGACGCGGATGAGGCTGTAATCGGATCAAAGCGTTACTCGGCCGCGTTCGTTCGCGCGCGGTTTGAGAACCCCTGCGAAAGCTGATTTTCTCGCTTCACGATTGCATTCCCGGCGGGTATGTCCCTTTCGTTCGCACGTACGACATGCATAACGGTGTCTGCCTGCATGCGATGGCCGACCGGGAGCCCCTGCAGGGTTTCCTTTTTGTCCCGACGGCGGGCGAGGTGTTGCACACGCGAAACCGGACCACGCCGTGCAATTAAAAGTTTGCGGATCCACCGAAATCCACCGCCGGCACGCTCCGCCGAGAAAATAACGAAAATCCGGAGAAATTTAGTTTTTCTGGTTCAGCGTGATTTTCCGATTCCGGCCGCTGTTTGCGGCCGCGCTCTTCCCGATCTTTCTTTTTCACCCCCGACGGAACGGGGTAGGATTTTCGAACTCGTGTTTCCGCATTTCGTACTTCGGCATACGGTTTTACGATCGGCATTTTTTCTCGCAAGAATTAAGGCAAGGATCACGGTTAACGACGCATCATTTTTCGTTCATCTATATATGGGTAAATTCTTCCTAATTGACGTTTAGATTGTGTAGTAATTTTTCCCTGATTCGCGCTCAGATTGCGCACAAAAATGGACAATTTGGGAATAATCGTATCTCCTCTTCCGAAATTGTCAACTTTTGTGGGCAATCTGAGTCCAAGGTTATTCCAGCAATATGAGTCCAAAAATATTTCTAATTTGCTCTTTCCATGCATTTTTTTAATATATTTATACTAAATCATTTATACTAAATCGATTGTCTGATATCCTATCCAACTTAACCCTTTGCACTCGAGTGGCGACTCTGAGGCACCGTTAAAAATACTTGTTCACATTTCGAAATTATTCGCAGATTATCAGACTTGTTTATATTATAAAAGAACTATTGCCAATCTTAATGCTGTACGAGCCACAAGACTCAGTTCCATGTGCATAAATTATAATAAATTATGTAACATGGAAATACTGGAGATCAGGAAAACAATTTCGGATTTAGGCTTAAAATAGCTTCGAGTGCAAAGGGTTAAATTAAAGTACCCTTATTGTATTATGCATAGAGTATGAGTACAGTCGGTGCTTCTACAAATTTGTAAGTTATGCGTATTAATTACCGAGCGTCGGTAATACAACAAGAGTTGAAAAACTTGTACACTTTCTATTTTATACAATTATACACTTTTTATTGTATATAATTATACGCTTCTTATCGTATATAATTTATACACAATTATACACATTTATACTAAAACTATACAAGAAATATCAATGTGTTGTACTTTCTTTATAAAATCTAATGATTTGTATAGTATAAAAACACTGTTTTAGTCGACTGGAAGCTAATTATTTAAAATTATGACCGTTTACATAAATTCGATTTGCATAAATTTGATCGTTCACGGAAAACATATAACTAATACATCTTAATTAATTATATAGAAATCTTATATAGTAAACTAATGCAGTACTTAAATCGTTATATTCTATTAACTCCCGCAAGGCGGTGGCCGGGTCGACTTTGACTCGGAGCATTTAAATCGTTCACTTAATTGCACAATTTTCGACAATTAAATGAAATAAATTACTGTTAAATATGGAACAATAGTGTGCAAGAAATATCTTCAAAAATATTGTTTCGAAAAATTGCCGAATAGTGCACAGAATTGTTATAAACATCGTAAGTAGTCCAGTTACGAAAATGATCCGCCGTGGGTAAATGTGATATCAAATGTTGCATTAAAATTTCGTTGTTTACAATTCTTCGTCGCATCGTCGCGATTATCGTCGGAATAAACGAAAGCCTCGGTACGCCTGACAATCTCGGCAATCGGACGCCTTTTACCCTATGCTGGTCTTCTTTCTAAAAAAATATCAAGCGATAAAAGTTGAATCGACGCATTTCTCTGTAAAACCTAACCTCCGCCTAACCTCTTTATGCCCGAAAGCTATTAAGTTCAGGGAGCCATTTCAATTCCAACGTATCAGCGGTATCACCCCGGCCATGTTGGAATGAAAATGTCTTCCGGACGCGTCATTCATGTTCCTCCTCGTGGCCGTCATTATTTGTTCGATCGTCGACGGTGGCTCGACGACGTCGTTCCTCGCTTCCTTTTCGGCCCGGCTATTCAACGCCGGAAGATCTTTCGCTCATTTCCTCGGTCGCGGCAGCACCGTTCCACAAAAGGTCCGAGAGAGCCTATTCCCGAGAAGCGTGGAACATTGTAATTTTCTCTCGTTCGCATTGGTCATACGTCTCCCGTTCTAAGCAGCCGAATAAAACTTACAACGGCGTGTTCCGTTTTCGCCGTAAAACGCTGTCGGGTTTCCGACGTGTACACGCAGTAAAGGGTTTTTAGTGCCCTCGCCACTCTTGTCGCGTGACAGTCGTTCCACGGGAATTTTTCGCTTTCGAGAGAGAGAAACATTCGGGAACACGGTGCGCACACGTAAATACGTACCCGGCATGCTCTTCTTTCGCGACTCGACACCCCCCAGCGGTTCCGTTCGAAACTAATTTTAACACCGAAATTATTCGCCGCTGGTTTTCGTTCGCCTCGGAGAAATTACTGAACCGTACTGTTTTCTGCGCTAGCATTTTCGTAAAAAAATAAATAAATATAAAATTTCCATGATAATCCGTAGCCTATTAATTGCGAGGAGACTTGCACGAATTTTATTCGAAACGAGAATGAGAAATGACGACTCGAAATGATTAATTTCCGACTGTTATTTGATAATGAAGATAATATCGATTCATTTGAAATAATAGCAATGTGAAATAATCGATTATTCGTTACATTTTCATTTCAAATATGGCGGGAGAGGTAATTTTAACAATAATACTCGAAAGGAGAATTTTATTTGAAGAAATCTTTGCGATCGTTTATTTTAAGCAAAATTCTTTTTTTGAAAAAGATCGTTCTTAAAGAGATTTTTGCCCGGGCCTGTTTAATATCATGGCAAAAGTGAATAATTGCAAAAAATTATTCTTCGGAAAATATTTCTTTTCATCAGTGAACACAATCGGATCTTTTATTTTGCAGAAATGTCCATGGCAATGTCAGTATAAACAAGATTCAGTGCTGATAATCAACTAATTAATATCATTTGCATGAAGAATATCACGATTATGTCAAACAATTATTTCAAATAATTACAATATAGAATAATATTTCAAATAATGTTACTTCAAACGCGATAACTGGCATAGAAATAATTATAAAATAAAATAATATGTTATAATATATTATAATATTTTAAATGTACCCAGGTCCGATTACAAGTTCGTCCATAACCTACAAATTCAATGCTTGATACGCACTTCCAACAATTCCTCTCGCTGCCGACAGAGAAGCCTCCAAGTCGACATTAGTCTCGCGTTGCAAACTACATAACCTTAAAGTTTCCGTGATAATCCGTAGCCTAGTTCATCCGTAACCTGTAAATTTAAGAAATGATTTCTGTCTCTGAATATTTCGCGTATAATATTTCGCTCAATGATAGTTATCGAAACTGTAAAAATTACCGTCGCAACGATGTTATTACAGTAAATTCTCCCTTATTGACCCTCTGATTGTACAAAAAAAACGGACAATTTGGGAAGAGGAGATACGATTGTTCGAGGCTTGCGCCTCAATGTTGTAATTCTTGACAATCGGCGACCTATAAAAACGAGCTGCGAGACTCGAATAATCGTATCTCCTCTACACAAATTGTCCACTTTTGTTAACAAGCTGGAGGACAATTGGGGAGAATTTACTGTATTTCGTTTGTTCATATGCAGTTCTAAAACTACTTTAAGGTTATTTTCAAATGTGATGCTTCGGATTTATATAGGAAAAATATAGTTGAATATTTTAAATATAGGGTTATTATGTATACATGTATACAGGGTGTCTCAGTAACTCTGTTACAAAGCGATATCTCCATTATCGTTAATGATACGCAGAAATGCTTGAGGAACAAATTGTTTGGTTCGAAGGGACACATGTTGTGGTGGAAATCATGTTTTTGTAAAGGTCATATTTTTCTGAGATTTCAAGGTCATCGATGTTTTTTCAAATGGGATTACATATTTCTATCATTATATCATGATAGTTAAGATAAAGACGAATCTAATATTGTATACATCGAACTTTATAGTATATAATATTATACAGGGTGGGGCATTTTAAACAGGTTACCTGAATAACTCGCTTGTTTTTGAAGATAGGAGAAAATGCATTAGACCAAACTTACTTGGTATCGGGGGGCTCATAATCTGGTGTTACCAATTTTTTTGTAGGTGGAAACGTCAAGGAGATATGAAGGTCAATTCTGTTTTTTTAAGTGGAACAGTAAGTTTTTTACTTACATTCTGATAGAGTGTTTCGAGGCGAATACAATGAACTATTATGAAGGTCATTCAAGATCGCCCAAAGTCAACTGCAAGAGAAAATAAATTGTCTCAGAGTACTTTTCGAATACTTGTGTACCACGTGTGTGTATTACGTGACACGGGTCACAAAAGATAAATAAACATTCGATTACATTGTACGCTTATCTGTATCCTCAAACATTATTGGTAATTTTAAATTATCTGTTTTAGAAAATAATTTGAAGAAAAATTCAGAGATTTATACATTTACAGCGAAGGATTAGAAATGTCGTAAATATTTCTGGACTTTTCGTACTAAATGTCATATTGTCATAGTGTTGTGGTCGTTGCATTGGACTTGATCTTAGCTTTCACATTATGACGATAAAAATTGCACACAAGTAAACAGATGACATTATTTTTTGATTAGATTTATAAACAAATTTGTGTGATTATTTGCCATTTTACTGTATTTTAGATTTGCTTTTCTGTCACTTTGGGTGACCTTGAATGAGCTTCATAATAGTTCGTTGTATTTGCCTCGAAACACTCTATCAGAATGAAAGTAAAAAAACTTACTGTTCCATTTAAAAAAATAGAATTGATCTTCAGATTTCCTTGACGCCTCCACCTACAGAAAAATTAGTAACACCAGATTATATGAGCCCCCCGATACCAAGTAAGTTTGGTCTAATGAATTTTCTCCTATCTTCAAAAACAAGCGAGTTATTCAGGTGACCTGTTAAAAATGCCCCACCCTGTATATATATATCGAGTTTTATATATATAATATTACAGATATAAGGCTCGAATAATCGTACCTCCTCTCCCCAAATCGTCCATTTTCGTTTCCAAGCCGAGAGTCGATTAGGGAGAATTGACTGTACATATATTTTATAATTAACAGACCGGCCGATCGACCAGAATAAAAGTGACGCGTCCACGTTCGGTCGCAAACATGGCGGCCGGTACATTTCTCCGTGCCCCAGTAATTCGTGATAGCGATGGGAAAGTGGGCGGGCAACGATCGGAATTAGTTTGACGTCCATTAACGCGAATCATTATTCCGGCTAGGATTAATTAAGTTCAGCCTCGATGCATACGGGTCTAGGACATTCGACGCGTGTGTTCAACACGTAAGCGTTCAAGGCCTGATGCTGTGCATAATTGAAAAGTTAGAAACTCCTGGTAAGCAATTACCCGGACGACTTCCGGGTAGCCCCGTGAAATTCGTTTCGAATTCCGGTTAACGCCGAGAGGAGGCTGCTCGGAGACCGAAGGACTTCGTCGTTCCGAGCTTCCCAGTGAATTTTCTATACGCTTCTCGCCGTGTATCGAGTATGAAACTAGACCGCTAATTAACCGGTCTTTAATATGGTATAGCCTGGCCGATCCTGGGACGGGAGCACTTTGCTAAACCAAATTCTAACCTCAGTACTCTAGTTATTTTTATCTGCTCGGTTCTCGCCGCATTCGATACGAATTTAAGCTACTAATTAATGGTTTTGTTTGCGAGGCTCGAATGAAACTGTCATTGAAATTTTCAATCGAATGATACAACGGTTATTCGTAGATTTTTAATTTTTCTGTTTTAAGAAAACTTAAAAACCGTTTATGCGTAAACAGAAAATGTTTACTTTTTTGGTAATTGGAGAATGTTCTAGTTGAACGGTTGGTTAACGGTTAGGTAAATAGTTATTTTGCTTTGAACAATTTAAGGTACTTGCAGGAGGATGGTTCTTCGTTTTGCCAAATGTTCCTTTCAGTGTAAACGTTTTTTTTTGTTACCAGTTCATTAAGCAATTAGATTAATTAACTTTAATTGCATACTTTTTAAATTAAATAATTAAATAAATAGCTAGCATGGACTTTTATATTTTACTTTGAAATACACAGGCTGTCCCAAAAATGTCTCGCAATCCGAAAGTAACGGGTTCCTCGGGTCATTCGAAGCAACTTTTTCCTTTACGAAAATTTTCTCCGAGGCACCGTTAACGAGTTATTAACGAAAAACAGTGACCAATGAGAGGCGAGCTCAACTGGCGCGAGGCGACCGAGCCAATGAGCGGAACTGGGCTTCGTGCGCTGGTGTTGGCTGGACCGCCTCGCGTCAGCCGTACTCGATTGTTATTGGTCACTGTTTTTCGTTAATAACTCGTTAACGGTGCCTCGGAGAAAATTTTTGTAAAGGTAAAAGTTGCTTCGAATGATCCGAGGAACCTGCCATTTCCGGATTACGAGACATTTTTGGAACAACTCTCTTTGTTCGCGACGCCTGGGCCTATTACGACCCGCAGCAGAACATCGACGATTAATTGACAAATGATCATTATTCAATTGTGGATCTTTGTATGAAATAAAAATGATCTACATTAATTGTAACATACAGAAGTTATACAGATATAGTAAATTCTCCCTAATTGACACAGATTGTACAGGAAAATGGACAATTTGGGAAGAGGAGATACGATTATTCGAGCCCCGCGGTTCATTTTTATAACTACCGATTGCCAACAACTATAAAAACGAGGCTCGAATAATCGTACCTTCTCTTCCTAAATCGTATTGGGTTGGCAACCAAGTAATTGCCGATTTGTTCAATGAAATACAAATTTTGTTCGATGACCTTTTGCCATCTCTCCGACAACTTGAAAATTCCACGCTCGTAGAAAGTCTGATCCTTTTCGGCCGAAAACTGAGTTAAGTGAGATTTTACAGCGTCATCATCATTAAAAGTTTTACCACGAAGGGAGTTGTCCAGGGATCGAAATAAGTGGTAATCCGATGGCGCGAGATCAGGGCTATATGGTGGGTGTAACATCAATTCCCAAGCAATATCCATCAATTTTTGCCGAGTGGACAAAGACGTGTGCGGCCTAGCATTGTCCTGGTGGAAAATGACATCTTTACGATTTACCACTTCTGGTCGCTTTTCCTTGACCGCTGCATTCAATTTGTCCAGTTGCTAACATTCACGGATAATAAAAAATAACATAATAATAATAATAATAATAATAATAATAATAATAATAATAATAATAATTTTATAATATAACATTTACGGATATCATAAAAATGGGAGTGAGAGACATCTATAA